AAATTCCCTTTACATTATCTTGTTTTTAACTATTACAGTGAGAACTGCCAGCTCTTTATCTAATCTCCCATAATGTATCTTTAACATATGTCCTTACTTTGATATCCGAGCTGTTCCCAAAATCATGCTGGTGACAGATTCTTTACATTCATATTTCCACTCCAGGGCAATTCTTTGACGTATAGTACTGATCACAGGATTTGTTGTATTTTTCCATTCCAAGTACGGATCTAAAATACATAAATGACTGGAAAGATGGCCTATGACTATTGCCATAGAGATACACAACGCAAACAAATGGGGTTAATTTAATAACAAACAAGCCGATACTGAATTTGTACAAATACAATTCATAATTTGTTTTCTGTTCATTAACCCAGTGGTTCAAACAAATAAAGCGTTAAACGTGGCATTTATGGTTTTTGAGATACAGATGAATATAACACCTGGCGGACACCTGGAAATCCAGAATTACAGACGTACACAAAAGCGACTAACTACATTTTTTCAAATTAAAAATCAGAGAAACCCATCATATTTATTTGACATTCTAGAATATTATCAACAAACACCACAACAATACAATTTAAGAAACATTAGCGAATATAGAAATCCTTATTGTTGAACAACATTACACCAAACTTCGTACTTCCCCTCAACAATTCGAGATTGGGAACTATTAGAGGACCGCTTAAAGCACTCAACCAATATTACATCCTTCAAATATCTATACAAACAAAAATTACGTTCTTTAATACATAAAGCGCCGATCTACTACTGTAAAGCTAATAGACATGAAAATATTATTCACACTAGAATACGTCATGGGTGTAGTACGTTGCAAAATGATTTGTATGAAATAAATGTTGTGAATGATCCCACATGTTCTTGTGGCAAATTTATAGAAAATGCTGAACACTATTTTCTGAAATGTCACTTATATGATGTAATACGCGCCGAGTTATTAAGTACTTTGTCAAATTATTCTGTGATAAATATAGATATCCTATTGTGCGGCAATCCAGAATCGTCAATTGAGATGAATACAAACCTTTTCCTTGAAGTTCACAAATATATCAAACTTTCAAAACGATTTAAATAAAACTTAATGATATTAGTTACTTCTTATTATATATTATTAGCAATAGTTTTTTTGCTTGTTTTTTTTGGTGGATAACTCCCCCCCCCCCCTGCTTTTGTTGTTGTCATATCATTATAATATATTTCCTTTATTCCCTTGCACTTTCCGCAAATTTTCGTTCGTAAGGGTAACAAGAGAGCATAATTAACTCGATTGTTTAGAATTATTTAGCAAATCATTTTATACATGCATCAGTTCAATTATATCCCATTTATTAAACTTTATTTTTCAATGTTTTAAATATATTGAACAAAATGTATAACAGTGATATTGCGATATAATTTTAAATATAATTTTATATTCTCTTTATCACCTCTTCAATTATTTTTATATAGAGCTTTACGATTTAATTTATCTGACTTTACTTATATTACCTATTATTTATTATTGTATATACTATTTCGCCATCTTGTTTGTATTAAATTTTGTCTATGATTTGTATGTATGGAAAGGGCTTTTCTAAGTTTTTGAAACTTGTGCTCAACCCTTTTGATATTTATCAATAAAATATGTTTAAACTAAACCTTATTCTATTTTTGTGGACATTTTAGAATTCAACACAGCGGATACCAGGACGCGTTATTTCGGGGTGGGTGTTGGTCCATTATTTTAAATGGTCCATTGTTGTCATATAGTATCCATGTGCAAAGTGTCACGGTTTACTTACGAAGTGAGTTTTTTTTTATTCCCAGACGCTCTACTAAAATAGCTATCCATTATCAGCAATGTAGCAACATGGACATCCAATGGATCCACATAATTAAGCCATTGATCACCATAGTTTGCCTATCTGTTCAACTCCCATGGGTTAACTGTTAAAGTCCTGGGGTTATATGCCTGTAGAGTAGACATGGGATTCCCGCAATTTAATGACAGTTCATCAAGTTCCAGCTAAAATTGTGTCAATTTTCAGTTTCTCATTGCCTTTCGCTTATCTGTTATTGTTTTGTTTATATATATACAACAAATTACATGGAATAATAGCATTCCTTTAGAATAAGACTATTTATTTTATGATCAGAAGTGGAATACCGCGTTTTATCAGTGAAATAAAAGTGTTATTCCACTGGCTAGCAGTAGTCCATGTTGTTTTTACCTAAAATGATTGTAAAATCATAAAATAAATAGAACATTTGTCGTTTTGTCGTGAATAACATATTTTATTTCATCTCTAAGCAAGAAAACGTTTATATTTTCACTCATGCTACGCATTCGTGAAAATATAAGTTTTCTTGATTCTCGATGAAATAAAATATGTTATTCACTCTAAGCATGAGTGAAAATATAAACGTTTTCTTGCTTAGAGATGAAATAAAATATGTTATTCACTCTAAAACGACAAATATCCTCTATTTGTTTTTAGACTACTTCACAGTAACAGAATGTGATTCTATAAATATTCTTACTATCCATAAAGGTGACGAATCCGTAAACTAGCAATGACGATGTTTTAGAGTTGTTTTCTCTGCTATAGATTAATTAAGAAACCGCAGTGTACTTAAATAGTGTTTTGATAGGTTAGTCTTTTTGGGTTTACTCAAAAAATACACCTGATCATATATATATATTGATGCACTATATTCTCCGTTGAAGAATTTATTTCACTTTTTGATAAGAGATAAACCGATAAATAAATTGTATGACGCTGACACACTAACTCCGGGTTGGGCTGACCTAGTGGACCAGAATGTCACGCGTCGAGCTCTAGCTGGCCGGTCACGTCTGGCTTTCGGTTGTGGTTTCGACCCCTGCTGTGAGGGTATGTGGCTTGGAGATAGGGGCGCCTTCTCAACCTCGTGGTTTACTCCGGACCCCAGAGCGTGCGCTAAGCATTATTTTAAAAAAGACAGCTTGGTGCGATATCACCATCGGTGGAAGGGGGCGTTAAACGCTAATAGAAGAAGAAAACTCACTAAATAGGAGGGTTCGATGCTGATGTCTATCGAGAAAGTTCTAGTATTGTCGTGTACTACCGTTCTGTCCAGACCAAGCTGATGAGGACTGGTAAACACCATACAATGTGCTACGAGGGATGCTATAAATCGAAATAAAAGTGCCCCACTGACACTGTGCGACCACAGCGGAAAAAAAAACCGCTGATCTTTTTCGGCCACGGTACCTCGAGGTTAGCGAACTACAGCGGCTCCCAAGGAATTTACACTATGGACTGGTTTAACAGCGTAAGAGTAATCAGTTGACATATTCATTGTTATCACATTGATAAAATATTCAGTGATCACACTGCGATTAAAAGTAATTGTTTGATATTCCTTATTCAATATAAGATAAAGCAAAATAATTTGGTCAGTAATTTTAGTCTCATATAGTAAACATTTAATATGAAATCAACCACTAGACCTATTCAACAAAAACCATATACAGCAATATATATCGAAATGGAAGAATTTCATTTTTAGAAAGCTAAACATTCATAAAAACAGGTCAAAATTGATATTTTATTAAAAATCGGATATTCGTAGAGTAAAAGGGCCAGTAGAAGTTGGCACTTTCTCATATCTATTCTAGACGAACGTAATCCCGGTAATCACTGGACCGTGTTTACAACCTAAACAGTGGTATTTTTTGTAAATTCTCACCGATGTGTGGCCGTTATTCTTTTTATTTTCTGTGTTATTCGAAAATGAGTCTTCAACTGTTTGGCCAGATGATGTGCTGGTGAAGCAATGGACTGAAAACTATTATCCATCTTTACATCATTTAGGTGGATGAACATGTTCTTATTCTAAAAAGTAAATTCTCGTCTGCTGTTGCCCAATCAAATATATAGAAAAAATGTTCTTAATTTTGGTAGTTTATTAAGTGTTTTGTGAAAAAAAAGCGCAGGATAGCGAGATTCAGTCGCAAGCATAGAGATAGGGAAATGGAGAGTGATTTGTCCTAGCAATTGGTGAAGTCACAAAGGACGAGCAGCATTCAACTGTGAAGGGGGTGCAACCCTCGAGGGTTTCCAGCGACGGGGGCGGGGCGAGAGAAAAGGGAAATAGGTAATAAAATTCCCCTAAAATTAGTGTTACATGTATTAGATAGTTATTATTATTTGTTTTATCTGAATATCCTGTCGGATCGATAATACCTTATCTTATTTTTCAAACAGTTCACAAGTTATTAAATAATAATCATGTCACGTACATAACACGTGATATTGTTTTAGCCATTCGACCTAAATTCGTCATTGGACCTGACGCGTAGACAATAATAGGATAGATGATAGTGTAATTGAAAGAAAACGCACTTGACCTTGCCTTAACACTTTGTAATAAACGACGTTGTCTGGACAAACAATCTCTTCTATCAATAACATAAAACATTTTGGACGTCTCAGAAATATATGAAAACATATCAAATTTCCCATCTTCAAAAATTTTAGATCTCTTTCAGAATAATATGAAAGTAAGGCCTCCGATACTTCCATTAATATTGTCAAATGGTAAGCAATTGAAAACAAACAGAACAGTTATTGCATTGTATTAGCTCCCAATACTACAAATGACATACACACCCACCTTCATAGTAATCTTAATTATGATAGCGACGCGAAATCAACACCATGCAAGCCGTGGAATTTTTACGAAAATTCCCCTTCTTTCTCAGTGTTTCTCATTCTCATTCGTTCGTGGGATTTCCCTTCCCTTTTCGCATAACGTAAACCATCATAATCACATTCAAACTAACCATTACGCTATACCACCATATCTCACATTCAAAATAACCAATATGAATTTCCTCCGTCAGATCAACTCCCTATTTACCAACTCCTGTGTTGTTATAAATGGTCTGACATTACTGGAGTAGTCTATACGGGGAGGCTTGAAGCATCAAGTCTTAATGAGTGGTAAGATGTTTTAAAATATATTTATTGATCATATAAAATATTACATTAAAAGAATACGTAATAATATTTATATAATGAAACAAATTATCCCCCTCCATCTTTTTCAGGACTTGGGACCTACAACGTTAGTCATCTACTGGTGGACTTTTATAACAACACAATAAATCTCTCATACAGAGTTCAAGAATAAAATAACAACCATTTTCATACATGAATCGGTCACAATACATATTATATATGTCTATATACAAAAATATATGTAGAAATAAAGGAAAAAAATATATTTACAAATTCTCATTTTGATGGAAAAAAAACAAACTTAGAGACGTTAATCTCGACTTCTGGTGCCTATATCACCAAAAATTCAAGAATGGAATGCGTATAATATTTCGGTTTCGTATTTCTGCCAATTTAATGGTAAAAAAAGGTGTACAATCTAGCTATTTACAATCTATTCGGCGTTATCATATTTCTAAATATTTCTTCAAAACTTTCATAAACCTGTACACTACTACATACGAAGACAATCTAAACAGTGAGGCTGATGTCCCCCGCCGAAATCCCAAAATAAATAGATGACACATATTAATCGCACATTTAGTTTTTTCAAAAGTATCGAGCAATCAAACTACACACTCAGTTTCATCACTCTCTATCAGATAGAATCAAGATTATCTTCTCCCAAAGCATCGACCAATAAAATTGATTAGCTCTGCTTAGCTTTAGCTTGAAATGTTGATCATTGAAATCATGAAGATCAACACCAGGTTTAAACATTCTACCTCAATTAAAAGCAGAGTTTTTGAGTTCCAAAGTCTTGACGATCAAATTGCTTATCGCTCCTTAGCCTAAGCATAAAATTCGCACCATCGAACTTAGTAAAGGTAATGATATAATGAATCTATATTCAGAGTTTCATCGCTCTTACTTCATTATAACCAAAGTTATCGTGCCCCTAAAGCATCAACCAATCAGATTGCTTATCTCTGCCTACCGTAAGCAGACAATGTTTATCATCAAACGCCATCATGGGATTTCCCTAATGAATGCCTACACCAAGTTTGAACACTCTACCTCAATTAGAAGGAGAGTCATTGTGTTCCAAAATCTCGACCAATCAAATTGCTTATCACTCTGCTTACCCTCAGCAGAAAATGTTCATTATCGAGCTTAGTCAAGGTACTGATGTAATAAAGCGATACACCAAGTGTCCTCACTCTCACTTAATTAGAACTAAAGTTATCGTGTCCCAAAGCATCAACCAATCGAATTTCTTATCTCTGCTTACCCTAAGCAGAAAATTCTCATCTTCAAATTTCATCAAGGCCTTGACCTAATAAACACCTACACCAAGTTTGAACATTCTAGCGCAATTAGAAAGAGAGTTATTGTGTCCCAAAAGGTGTGACGGACAGACAGACGGACGAACCCATTTTAATAGTCCCCTGCATTCTTCGAAAGGCGGGGGACAATAAAAATGTATTAAACGTTTTTAAATTTCTTTTCATTTTATATCATTTAATTGTTTTATCAATAGTTATCTCGCGTCCATTTTATAACACGTGTACCATGCTCATGCTCATCTGTTTAACGGTTTCATTGGAACGCAAATTGACGTCAGTTCAAGGCTATGTTCTTTGATAATTATACAAAGGGATATTATTTCTTTTTTTTTTCAAAAATACAAAAGCTTTATCAATTTGTAAAAAATTTTAACAATCTATAAATAAATATATACGGAAATATAATGACCCAGTATAGTCTTTTTTAACTCAATATACACAATGTATCTTGATGCATACATAAAAAGATAAAAATGCTAAAAAATCCACCGGTATAGAACCAACAACGGTGATGTTAAGATAACTATAACACCACCCGCGTAGAATAAAACCTGAAAAATATAACACGGTTAATTACTTCAATACATAATATAAATGTAATAACAAGCAGTATGGTTTTTATTTATAGTTTGAGGGGTTCACATAGCTAAATTAGCTGATGACATTTTTGGTTGTACGGGGGCCCGGGTGATGTTACTACCTCAACATTTTACACTTACGACCCCGTAGTGATGTCAAGCGTAGGTCTACCCACATTGGTAAAGTAATGCAATTAATAGAAATTGTGATTACTATCAAGAAGCATTCATTAAATAATGAACAGTATTGCATTAAATTTACAATGTCGAGAGGTTTAGCTACATCAACACGGCCAACTTAAAGTGCAAATTTATACGTTTCAGGGAAACATAATATTTAGGGGGTGGGGGCTGGCTAGTCTATTTAGATTTTATGATTCTTACCTGCTAGTCCTCTGAGACGTGAGAGATAATAACAAGTAGTATAATGTACTTACTAGTCCTGTGATATGTGGCAGATAATAGAGGTGACAATAGAAAGTAGTATTTTGATGCTGTAATCAACAGGTGATCTGGTAGCTGTTGATGTCCGTGAATCTGTTCTAGATGTGACAGTATTTGCTTTTACTTCTACAAAATGGTAAAATCCGCAAAATCAATAACAGATAGCTACAAATACTTGTTACACGTCTACGAATATTAATTACAACAATTCCCATCAATATATATAAAATATATTCTCTATAATTATGTGTAGTTTACCTTTCAATACTGTTCTTGTTAATAGTTGTTCTCCGTCACCCAGTGTTAATTGACAAACATACTCCCAGCCAAAATCTTCCACTGATACGTTTTTCAATCTCAGACTGATCTGTTCACCAGTTTGATCTTCATTTGCTGTTTTTGTAACGTTCACTCTATTGATAAACTTACGACCAAGATCAGTAAATCTACCCTGGTACCAATTCCCCACCTACAAAGGCATATAAAATTCTGATGACTTTTCAAAATATGACTTTTAAGAATGACGTTACCGGCCACATGTAGACACAATTTGCTTGTTTATTAATATTATTTACTGGTACGTAAGGGGTCAAGAATTACATAGTAGTAAACAAGTAAATAGGCTTTTGATCATTGGGGTTTTTTAAAAGCGTTAACACAAGTCTTGCAAGACAGACTGGCAATATGTGCATCAAATAACCATTGATCATCAGAGTGTTGCAGTATTCGTTCTTTAAGACCCAACTCTTTTTGTAACTCCATATAATACTTTTATATTTCTTCAAACATGCCCGTTTCCAGCTCGGCTCTCTGGTCTGGATTCGAGACCGGCGCGGTCACCTTTCCAACCAACATGGCCCTAATTCTAGCCTTAACCCAAGTTTCCCACAGCCTTCAATGAATAACATCCTTTTGATTTCTGCTTATAACCCCTTTCTAGATAAAGGATGATCGAAGAGATCGTGCAGCTGGCTATATTGCATCATTTACCAGATTTTCAGTACAGATTGATTTACAAGACAAAGTACACTACATAACTTGGGTCAGCTATAAGTTTATATTATGGTAATGACTAATTAGTGCCATCTGGACCACCGTGGGAGTAAATAGCCGATAAGGATATTTTAATCAATTCCGCTTTCATGTGTCAAGATGGCACGATCTGCAAATTGTGTAACAAGGGGCTTGTACTAAAAATTAACATGACTTAGTGTACAGATGTAAACGCGGTTAATCAGTGCTATAAATATTGCTTAAATAACATACATGTACTCATTGTGCTGCAGTTAATGGAAAGAATCCTTTCCGAGGCATGTCCGGTGGACTGAATAGACTACTGGACAAACTTTTAAAAACATGTTCTCTTCCCTTCTTGCCAAACGCATGTACCCTTTCAGAATTGAACACCTTTCTATGTTTGATACCAATGTTAACTCCCATATAAATCTCACTGCTTTATATGATTTCTTTGATTACACATGAGAAAAAAAAGGCAGCGGTAAGATCAGTAGATTGCCTACAGCCTCTAATTGCACCCATTGTAAACCCCACCCACCCCCTCTTCAACACCTTACATACATTAGAAAGTATCTGGAAAGTTAAATTCAATGAATATTGAGGTTCACCAGTTCACTGTAACTGTTATTCTCCCGTCTTATAAACACAGCAATTGCTTCATAAGGATATTTGTATTCCCACAGAAATGTAACATCTTTTTCCAAGGTTGTATGTTTTACATCTTCAAAATATGCCCAGTACGGTCCTAGAAAAAAAATTAATGTTAACCACTCAAGTAAATATCAGTCAATATCTTGCCATTTAATCTGGTAATCATTTTATAACCCAAGAAGGAAGTGGGGTTTCCTGTTGCGGTTTAAAACTCGATAAAAGCCATTTCCAGGTCAGCCACTAAGCATTCTTGAAGATTTGAATATTTTCTTGGTTGAAACCTATAACTTCATGCATTTAACCCGTAAAACGTTCATCGTCCGAATTTCTATTAAGTTTTAATTGTCAACTACTCACGATTTCTTACTATGCTTTTTACGTGGTGGGGTGGGTTCGAGTGGTATAGCGAGTGCGCGCTGCATCAAAAAGATATGTCATTGAGCCATCTGGCGTGGTTTCAATTCCCGGGTTGTACGTGACAAGGAGTAGGGTCGCCTGTCCAACATCGTGGGTTTTCTCCGGGTCTCCCACTCCGCCCTACGCGCAGACGAATTATTGAAATAAAAGTGAACCATATGTTAGTCCCTAGTTCGTGTCGAGTGGACGTTAAATACCATTTCTCTTTTTTTTTTACGTGATCGCATTTTGAATCTTGAATACTATACCTCAAAGTTATTAGGTCTGCAGCCAAAATTTCTAGCTTGCAAAATGAAATGAAGTTCCGCTACTATACATGTTCGGAAAGCTGATAACAACAGGAACACAAATCCAGCAATTTTCATCTGACCGTAAATCGGGTTATTGCAAAGATTTTGCTTGGAACTCTCTGGATTTGTGTTCCTGGTGCTATAAGCTTTCCAAAAATGTATAGTTTGTTTATTAGGGAGGACCTTGTAGCGGAACTTCACGCTAGAAATTTTGGCTGCAGGCCTATATTTGATTACTGTCACTTACTCAGCGCTTTCAATTCAATTGAGAAATTATTCCTGTGTACTGGATCGCCACAGTTCACTTGACAGTTGTACTTGAGGTCGTAGTCTATATGGATAGGATTGTCCAGTGTCAAAGACACTTTTTTCTCATTGGTTTCGTTTAAGTGGTCTGTAGTAAGGATTAATATTGTTGATATGAATGGGTCGGGCTTGAATCCCCCTTCCTTTGTCCATTTTCCTACCGGAATCTGCAATCATTTACACATATCTACCAATGCCTTCATTTACACACACAAACATTTACCGATATCTAGACATATCCCACAAAATAAAATACAGATGTTATGGACGGCATTCTTGTACCAGGAACGTGTACGATGATGATCAATTCCACTGACAACCCAATAAATATCAATAGATCGATTTAATGCCGTTAGATCGAACATACATTTCATCTTTATTTGAGACGTGTAAGATACTATGATTTCGGTAAAATGGTTTCAATCAATTTCAATAGGACAAACTATATTTAATCACATCTTCAACTTTTGTTATAATCGGTACAAAATAATGATAGTTGGCCTTACTTTAGTATCCGAACTGTTCCTAAAGCGTGTAAAAACCATGCTGGAGACAGGTTCTTTAGATTCATATGTCCACTCCAGGGCAATTCTTTGACGCATAGTACTGATCACTGGATTGGTTGTATTTTTCCATTCGAACAACGAATCTAAAATATATAAGGGGAAACCACGTCGGAAACTCCCTATTAACTTTCTCGGCCAATGCAGGGATCGAACACACGACAACCAGGCTAGCAAGCCAGCGTCTTCCCCACTTAACCACCGTGGCTCCCCCAACATAATAGAAAATGAAATGGGGTTTAACGTCCTACTGTTCTGCTCCTAAACTGGGCTAATGAAGACGGGCATACGCCATACAGTGTGCTATGAGGGAAATTTTGCCCGGGCAGCGGCACTACCGCCTACTCTTATATCGAATTCCAACTGCCAAGGGATCTTTTACGTGCATTCCAATGTATACACGGGACCTCGGTTTTTCGTCTCATCCGAAGGACTAGACAACTGTCCTTGTCAGGCCCTCCGTTCTGCACCACTGACAAGGGGAAACCACTTCGGAAACAACATAATAGAACATGGGTCAGTTTGTGTAACAATTTCAATGGAAGACTTGATCCTGCTTTAACTCCGTACATCTTATCAAGCCCTTTACGTAATACCCCGCATTTTCGATACTAATTTTGATTGGGTACGTTGGAATTCAATATATTTCCAGCTAAAATGTTTACCTGTGATACAAATAGAGTTGCAAAGTTCAAGGTTCGTTCAATGTCAGAGTTATCGTAGAAGTCGCCATGTTTGATTTGAGTGTGTTTGTGTCACAGTATTATAAGTAATACTAAGTAATAATAGCATGATAATAATATCAGTTTTCATAATAATTGAATAATGTAAACATTACTTTCTAGCTCAATGTCAATGTTTGTTCAATGTCAAAGTTATCGTACAAGTCGCCATGTTTGATTTGAGTGTGTTTGTGTCATAACTTCTGATTTTGAGGTATAATTTATACTAATATCATCAGTATTATAAGTAATACTAAGTAATAATAGCATGATAATAATATCAGTTTTCATAATAATTGAATAATGTAAACATTATTTTCTAGCTCAATGAAGAGTTTTTAACAACATCTATTCCGGAGGTGTTTTTCCAGAAAGATCTACACAGAAAATACGGCTGACACCTAGTTTTCGCTACAGAAAAGCAAATTGAATTACTTGGGCAAGCAAAGACATGGTACATAGTTGAAACTTTCAGGATAGTGAACACACCATTCTACCAACTATTATCAATACACAGTTTCTTAAAAATCTGGTGACAAAATCAAGCAGGTTCCCTTGGCATTTATACTGATGTCAGGAAAGTCTACAAGAAGGTATGTAAATATTTTAAATAATATTATTAAGGCCAGCAGTAAAACAAAGACATAGCAGTGAAATTATTTTTTAACATTATTTTATTTAATCTTCGCAGGCTATCCTGTCTTGGATATGCAACCATCGGCCCCTTCAGTACAGGCCTTTGTTGTAGATTTCGAGGCAGGAATCTTGCTAGCGTTAAGATCTGTTTTTGACGATCCGCTCATTCATGGCTGTGCTTTCCATTGGGGTCAGGAAGTTTGGAGAAAGATTCACAAAACGGTCTTCAGGTATGTTAATTCAAAAGTATTTGATATAATTCACAATTATTTGGTATTATTATTATTTTATGTTTTATTTTTTTGTGGACTACCTACAGTCAGAAGGACACTGTGCATAAGTTTTTTTTAAAGAAAAGTACTATCTCGGCCCTTTTTACCGGCAGAACATATATTACCAACTTTCCATAAATTAGAGGTGAAAGCCGCCACAGACCCCATAAAAGCTGTAATGAACTACATTTTGGAAAACTGGATGACAAGCAGCATATGGATCATCCCGATGTGGAGTGTGTTTGGAAGAACAATAAGAACAAATAATGATGTCGAGGGCTGGCACAATAGAATTAATCAAAACGCAAGAAAAGAGAACCTACAATTCTATCGACATTATTATGTAAGGAAGCAGCACAGCTACCAATCCAGATTAAAATGGTATCTGAGGGAAAATTGCGCAAGCAAAAGCAGACAAGATCTACACAGTTCAAGAATTTCAAACTTCTTATATTACTGATTAATTTAATAAATAAAAAAATAAGTCAAATACAATATTTGTTGTGGTATTTATTTGTAACTTGGAATAAGTGGGGTTTTTTAAAGTTAGGATGAGTTGTCTTCTAACTTGAGATGAGTTGTCTTCTAACCTGGGATGAGTTGTCTTTTGACTTGGGATGAGTCCCCTTGTCAGTGATGCAGGACGGAGGGCCTGACAAGGATAGTTGTCTAGTCGTTCAGATGGGACGAAAAACAGAGGTCCCGTGTTCATATTGGCGTGCAGTTGGAATTCGATATAAGAGTAAGCCATAGTGCCGTTCGGGCAAAATTTCCCTCATGGCACACTGTATGGCGTATGCCCGTCTTCATTAGTACATACATCCCCACTTTCAATCGTCCTGGCAGATACTAGCTCAACGGTCTTAGTAGGGTGGTTATACTCCTAGTTATACAGATGGTTCGAAAGATGGTGCTCGGGTGGTTTCGGCTTCCGTGACATCATCCGAGACCATTTCTGTTCGCCTACCATCTGCTGCTTTTATTTGTACAGCTGAGCTCCAGGCTTTCTACAGGCCTTGGAGTTCATTCAATCATCATCAAAATTGAAGCATGTCATCTTTACTGATTCTTTGTCCTCTCTTCAAGCAACTGATAACAAACAGTTTGATCACCCATTAGTAGAATTTATATATCGTCTGCTATTATCATTCGAGTGCATCAGCAAGGACATTGTCCTTTGCTGGCTCCCCAGTCATATGAATATCAAAGGGAATGGTCAAGCCGACTCGGCTACCACGTCTGCTTTAGATCTTCCACCCCCAGGGGTGTAGGGGGTGATTAGATTATACCCTTCGTATGTCCTGCGTGTCGTAAAAGACGGTCAAAAGGATCCCTGTTATGGGGCAGTGTGTGTGCCGTGCGTTGCGACACGTCTAGGTGGAGAGTGAAATCCTGGTAATTGAGTGGGGATTTGGCTAGCGAGCCCTTTCTCTGCAACACATTGCCTCGGTCCACAATTCACCTAGAAGGGGGGTCAGAGTGGCCCACTCTGAGCAATCGACTTTGGTCGTGTTTAGCTGATGAGTAGGCGCATCTTTCCCATAATTCTGTAATGTATTTGTTGGCGTCCCGAGTGCCTACTCTAAAGCAGCGACTTGGGTCAACTGGATAAAGTAGAAATATTTAATCTTTATTTTGTCTAGGTATATGCCTGTCGGTCCTCTTAGGGCGTATGCACTGGATATCCGCGCAGTAGTCTGCATAGATATTGTAACCCTTTGGTGGTTGGAGAGCAGGCAGGTATGAATCTTTTAGAATTACACTCATTGCTTCCCGGTCAAAGAAGACTCATTTAAAACGTATGTCGACCGCAGATATGGAACCTTATAATATACCAAATAAAATATCCCGAACCTGGCCAAGATTTCTGGTCATACAGAGTTCGAATGATAGTAATTTAGCTACAGGTCTTGCGGGCTTGGCCGGTGAGCCCAAAAGCGTCAAGAAAATGAGAAATGGCACTTTGTTAGTGGAATGTGCTAAAGAGTCACATGCATCTCATTATTAAAATCAACGACTTTAGCCAACATTCCGATGAAGGTTGCACCGCATAACTCTCTTAATTCTTCAAGAGGTGTTATTCGGTCTCAGGGTTTATAAGGCAGCAGTGAGGAGGAGATGCTTGAAAATCTCGCCTCACAATGTGTTACATACGTTAAAGGTATTTTCATCAGACGTAATGGTAATATTATCCAAACAAACACCTACATCCTGACCTTTGATAAACCAGATCTACCTAGGATGATCAAAGCTGGTTTTTTTGCCATTCCAGTTACCCCTTGCATCCATTTCGTTGTTATCAGTGTCAACGCTTTGGACAATCAAGCCGAAGACCACTTCCATTGCTTGTCAAACACCTGCTGAATTTCCAGCTGAGACGGAATCCTCGTCACAACTGAAGAAACCTCCCATTCCTCCAAAACCTGTAAATGTTTCTCTCAGCACCAAACTGTTAACCCACTCCTCAACCAATTGGTGGAAATCCACCTAAAATCGCTAACAAGGAACGTGCTGGTAAGGGCGTTCCTAAAAGTTTAAAACTAAATACCTTCCGAAGTTTGAAGGGTGACGAGGATCCTGTCGGGACCTTTAACAGAACACATGACCCCAAACAACATCATAGACGTCCAGTTAATCGTCCCTGAAAATGGCTAATTCCATGGAATTGTCGTGGTGTTAAACCAAATTTTAATGAAGTTCAAATCTTAATTCAAAAATTTAACTATTTGTTTAGCTATTTGTTTGCAAGAAACATTTTTAAAGAATTCAGATGTTTTATCATTTAGACATTTTGTTGCCTATCATCCTGTCACCATTTTGCTAATAATGAGGGTAGTGTACACGGTGGTGTTTCCATTTTCTTGAATGGAAATGTTCCGCAGAGTAAGGTCACCCTCAATTCGCCTTTACAGGCAGTTGCAGTGAGGGTGACTATACATATTCCTATCACACTCTGTTCTGTATATCTTCCACCAAGTTTGCATCTGAGTCCCAAAGATCACGATGACCTTGTTGCACAACTTCCACTCACGTTTATAATTACGGGCGATTTCAATGGTCATCATTCAATTTGGGGTACTACAGATGATAATAACAGGTAAACAAATAGCGGACTTCATAAACATTAATAATTCGTGTTTATCAAATGATGACTCGCCTTTCTGTGGGTCGCTTACCGATCTTCATTAAAAACTTCTATTCAATGAAGGACAACTGACAAGACTGTTTGTATGCACTTTTGTCAAAGAAGAGGTTTACATCCTGATCCGATGCTTACACTGGGTGGCAGTTCCATTCCAGGTGTAAAGGAAACATAATTCTTGGGTTTGATATTTGATAAGAAATTATTTTTATCGCTCAAATATAAAAACACTCCAGAAGAAATGTCTGAAAACCCTGAACATATTGAGTCATATCAAATACTGAATCGGGAGCAGACCGTAAGGTCTTGCTTAGATTGTATCGAGCATTAATAAGATCAAAACTCGATTATGGGTGTATTGTGTATGGGTCGGCCCGCGAGTCTTTATCTCAAAGAGAGCTTGACACCATACACAACCAAGGATTTAGAATCAGTCTAGGAACATTCCGTACATCTCGAGCGCAGAGTTTAAACGTCGAGGCTCACGAGCCCTCATTACACGACAGGCGTGATAAACTGGCACTGCAGTATGCTACAAAAATTGCATCTCTGTCTCATCATATTTCATATAAGACCATATTTAGACCATATCATGAACATCTATATTTTCTGAAAACTAACGTTATTTCTTAATTCGGTATTGGCATTCAGCCCCTTTTGTCAGAGGCTGGCATCAGTCATGACAGGATTGCGAATACCCTTTTGTTTAGTAATCCACCCAGATGATGTCTCCACCAAAGATCGGTTTAGATCTTACAATAAACATAAAAAATGATACTTGTTCCATGGTGTTTCAGTCTCTCTTCCGAGAGTTAAGGTCTAAATATGGTGATTATTCTCCAATTTACACAGGTGGTTCCAAAGATTGTGATCGGGTAGCTTCGGCTATCTTCACACCATCTAGAATCATTGCTGTAAATTTCCACCTGCAGCTTCCATATTTACTGCTGAGCTCCAGGCCATTTTTCAGGGTTTGGAGTTCATTCAATCATCTTCTAATTTAAAACACGTCATATTCTTTGTCCTCTTTGCAAGCAATAAACAATAACAGCTTGTACACCCATTAGTAGCAGACATTTATCGTCTGCTACTATCACACGAGTTTAGCTTCAAAGACATAGTCCTTTGCTGGCTCCCAATTCATGTTGATATTAAAGGGAATGATCAGTCAGACTTAGCTGCCAAATCTGCTTTAGATCTTCCCATATCACAATTCCTTTTACCCTTTACAGATTTTAAGGCTTGTTTCAACCATCTCATATATGACCGCTGGCTCTTGCAGACACAAATAAACTTCATCACATCAAACCTCTCTCACTGACCAAGCTCATATAACCAACGGGAGGGATGAAGTTGTTTTGTGTCGCTCTCGCATTAGTCATACTTTTTTTTAACTCACATTTTTATATTGAAGCGGGATCCTCAACCAGAATGTGAACACTGTCATGTTCCTTTGACAGTTAAGCACATTATGATTGAGTGCAATCATCTCACTAGATCACATGTTTGCTCAACTGGGTTGTATAATAAAGGGTTAGACTTTTTAAAAGAAACAGGATATTATCATAAATTTTAATTGTATATATATCATTTATTTTTGTATTTTAATATTTACATGCATAAAAGATTTATTTTATTTTTAATTTAAATTACTGTGATACTGTTTTTATTTATGCATATATTCTTTTCTGTAATATAATATAGCCTCGAAAGATTCACCATATGTTTGGCGCAATATAGCCCGGTTGGAGCTGACGTGCCGTGCCATAAAACCACATTTCATTTAGAATTTCCAATATCTGAATTTTATATACCTTTTAAGGATTTTAAATCCATTATAAATCAATTTATTTATGGCTGCTGGAAACGGTCTTGGGATCTTACAGACACAAAAAAAACTTCATCACATTAAGCCTCTCTTCTTTTGAACTACAGGAGAGATGAAGTTGTTTTGTGTCGCTCTCCCATAGGTCATACTTTTTTAACACACATTTTCATCTTGAAGCAAGAGCCTCAACCAGAATGTGAATACTGGCATAGTTCCTTTGACAGTTAAACACGTTTACGGTCAAAGGTCAAGATATTACCGTTGCCAGTCACTACAAAACTTATATGCTCAACCTGGGCTATATTGCGAATTGCTAACCTTTTTAAAACAGACAGGTTTTTATTATAAATTTTATGATTATGATATGATTTAGCTTGTCTAGAAAAAATCACCATATGTTTGATGCAATATTGTGCACCAATTAGTAGCAGACATTTATCGTCTGCTACTATCACACGAGTTTAACGGCAAGGTCACCGTCTTTTGCTGGCTCCCCAGTCATGTTGATATTAAAGAGAATGGTCAAGCAGACTTAGCCGCCAAGATCTTCCCATAACACAATTTCTTTTGCCTTTAACGGATTTTAAGTCGTCCATTAACTTTTTTAATATATGACCGCTGGCAGCGGTCTTGGGATCTTGCAGACACAAGCAAACTTCATCACATTAAGCCTCTCTTGGGAGACTGGCCAAGCTACTATCGTACGAGCAGGAGAGATGAAGTTATCTTGTGTTGCTCATGTATAATTCATACATTTTTAACTCACATTTTCATCTTAAAGCGAGACCCTCAACCAGAATGTGTTCACTGTCATGTTCCTTTGACAGTAAAACATTATCTTGATTGAGTGCAATCATCTCAAGTATATTAGATCTACATATTACCGTTGCCAGTCAGTACGCAAGCTGTATGTTCGGGTCACGGTGGCTGAGTAGGTAAGACGCTGGCTCACCAGCCTGGTTGTCGGGTGTTCGATCCCTGCATTGGCCGAGAAAGTTATCCAGATTTTCCGGCGTGGCTCTCCCTTGTCACTGATGCAGGATGGAGGGCCCGACAAGAACAGCTGTCTGGTCGTTCGGATGCGACGAAAAACCGAGGTCCCGTGTACACATTTGCCTGCACGTAACAGTCCGGGGAAAATTTACCTCCTAGCGACGAAAACCGAGGTCCCGTGTACACATTTGCGTGCACGTAACAGCCCGTCTTCATTAGTCCAGTTCAGAGCAGAATAGTAGGACGTTATATTTCATTTCGTTTTAAATACATGCATTTATATATGTAAATGATTTAACATCTGTATTTAATTAAATTTTCTGTGATATTTGTTTTTAGTTAAATATATAAATGTCTGTTTAAATTTGTCTCGTTTCATTCACGATATTACGTTTAGCGCAATATAGCCCGGTTGCAGCTGACCTGCCATAAAACTTCATTTCATTTCAGTTTAGCGCAATATAGCCCGGTTGGTGCTGACGTGCCATAAAACCACATTTCATTCATTTATTCTAGATGTTGAACTCGCGGTCCTGCCTTCAGGAACATGTTGTTTTACGTGCAATTATGTTTTCCCTTTGGGGTCATGTATATATGAACCATGGATCCCATTGTTGTCACGTGTCGCGTCATGGATATCTCATGGATCTTGATAATTAACCCATTGGTCACCATAGTTTCCCTATACTTTCTAGTGTGGCCTCTTTTTATCTCATGGGACCACAAACATCCCATAAGTTAACGTTTATGTCCCATGGGAAATGAATGTAGGTTTTCCAGCAGTTAGTGCTACACTGTACGTCTAGTAATAGAATATAAATATCTGATAACATACCTGATTGCACAGGATTCACTAAAATCAACACCACTATCAATAATGTTCGCTTCTTTATGGAATTGCTTAAATAAAATTAATATTTTAAGTCCTTGCGTTACATACATTTAGACATAGGTTTACAGCAATAAAACGTTCAATTTAATGAAAATTCGCCACGTTCTAACTAAAATTGTGTCAATTTTCAATTTCACAGTTTATGGCGCCACCCCAAATTTTTGTGTATCTAATAATGGATTATCTTCGAAATCGGCATACATATTTTTTATATCTTAAGGACGGCATCAGTTGGTTGTGGTGCATGCAGTACCTTCAAGGGAAGAGACATGCCAAATTTATTGTTTATATTTTGGCTATAGATTTTCTACAGATTGCAATTATCAGCTGATCTTGTGAAAATTCGACATGCTCTGTAACGGGATGGTGCCTATATATTTTCATTGAAACATTTTGGACTACCAGAGACAACGCCCACTTTTTTGTTAATATTTTGTTTGTAAACACTAAACACTGACCGCCATTCTTAATGAATTTTGTTTAAAATGTGCATTATTTTCACAGTCGGGATGCCACCTATTGGTGTAAATGCATGACAGACCCGGCATTGTCACGCGCACCTTTTTGTCAATAATTTGGCATAATTATTCATTTTGAAGACAGGGTGCTAGCTATTGATTTTCATTAACACTCTACAGGCTGCAGGAGAGAAGGGGAGGGGGGACGCAATCTAAATACTATATAATAATGCTTTGTTATGATCATAATATTGACTGATTGTAAAGTATATTATAGTGATTAAATTATACCCTGCTTTAAATTATTATATATTATTATAACGCTTACATAATTTTTAAAACAAACTGTTATGGTTGATAAAGTTACACACTGATTTAATTTATAAAGTATTATCAAATGTTGATAATGTTACAACCTGCTATATAGTATTTTAAGGTATACAAATACATTACAAGAAATAAACCAACTAATACAAAATCAAGTGAATGAATCAAATCAATGTACATAAGTTTTGTTACAGTCTCCTTCGGGGAACAGAACGATAGATGCTACATTGCGCTTTGTGTCCTGGTCAGACTGTTTTCATAAATATGCAATTAAGTAAATGATGGCGAGGGGGATTTCCGACTTTTTACGTCTGTAATATCCACTCGCAGTAAAATCTGCTTTACCGGTATAATTTATTCCAAACTATTCGAAAAACTTGAATATTGGGTGGATATAATGACCAGCAGCAAAACTTTTAAGCTACGATGAGATAATGTTTAAATCTCATGACAAGAAGTAAGAATAATTGGCTTCCAATTCGTGCTCGAATCAATTTCAAATTAGTATCTCGATCCAGTTCCATTTCGTACTTTAAGATCTATCCTTTTATTAACTATCTCGTACTTTAATCATTCGATATGAGATAAAAGAGTACAAAGTTTATATAAACATTTCTATCAACCGGGAGACCATAAGCAGTATAAACCAACTTACCGATACATATCATAATATATTACAATCACTGCACACACTCCAACAGTTATCGGTCCTATGCATAGATTTCTTGATAACACTTTATTTTAATCTGAAATAAAAAGTTAAATCGAAAGTAAAAGTTAAATCAAAAGTGAAACTAAAATGTTATTTAAAATCAAAACACAAATGAAAACTAAAATCATAATTTTTAAAAGTAATCTGAAATATAAAACAAAAGTAAAAGTGAAAAGCAAAATAAAAGCATCCTATCGTTATCAGTTAAGGGCGAGTCCCCGCCCTTTCGCGGAATAAACCACGTATGGCCATTCAAGTCTCTAACTCAATATCATCCAAAATCTTCAACATGAAAACACAAATTATTTGTCAATTTAAATCAACATTGATGCAGTGATCTTACCGGAAAAAGGTGGGCTTCTGATATCCAATATTTAAGACAAAATAAACATTTTACCATTGGTACGCGAATCGTGTACCATAATATGTTTCAGCCCCAGTTCTAGCAAGAGACTCGGGGAACGAGGCTAGAAATATTGCACCAAACCAAACGGTGTATGTAGACTGGAATAACCAGGCCCTAGAAATTTGCATTCGATTGAGACTGCTGGCTTATTTCGCGGAACATAACTGATTTGAAATTAGAGTAAAAACGGAAACCATTGAATGTATATCAGTTTATATACATTCATATTACAGTATTATCTGAGTTGCGACCCACTTCTGTCAATTTCTAGGTCCCAAATGTTAGCGATTTGGCTCCTTTAAATGTCATTAATTAGTTGGTTAATAAATTTGATTAAGAGCTCATTAACGCTGAACACTAGTGAACAGTTCTTGAGTGACTACTTTTAAACGGTTGCATGCCACTATGCCCGCTTTTCTAATAAAAACAAGTTTCACTCAGGCGAGGAACAATAGAGGGATTAAAAAGCGTTAATGAGGGAACAATAGAGAGATTAACAAGGGATTAATTAGTGTGGTCAGTAATTAGCACATATATCTGATATATGAACTACAGTTCACCTGCATTTGCAGAAGTAAACTGGAAGTGACTAAATATTCAGTCTTATGATTGACGAGATGAACCCACTCTAATCGTTAAATTGATGAATTTTATGATAACATGATTACACTTGAATATAATATGAATAATGTTCAGCACACATTACACTGTCTTTATAAGGTCACGCCTGGCAGCCGCTGGTTTATTTAGGATTTCAAGGGTGCTGACGACAAAAATCGTAATAAATGCACTCCTTTCGCAACGAAACATCCACAACACATACGGCATAATATTCACATGATAGTGTTATACTGAAGAACAATCTATACATTAGAAGTCTGTTGTGTATAATATAACTTTAGTGAGATTAACGTAATCTTAATCTCATCAATTAATTAGCACCTTAGTGCCAGCTAGTGGTCGGGAGATTAAGATTGTTGATTGGATAATCATCAAAGAAGCCGCAACAGCTGTACGCGTGTTCAGTTAACACGTGAATTAAAATAAGATTTTGCGTGTACGATAGGTCTATTATTATTTTCAGGTACCGTGACGTTATCAAAATATGAGTCCCTATAGAAATGTCAATTTCATAGTCAATGCTTACGTTCACTTTCGTGCATTTTGGCTTTGATGTAAATATCAACATTATTCAGAGGATACTCAATGGCAGACTCGAGAATCGTCGCATTTCGGCTCGTTGGTCGTTCTCATTTTTTCGACCCATTGTGATAAGAGAATTTTAAACAATAATATCCCAAATGCATTCCATACTTTTCATGCCGTATGAAGAAGCGACGGTAAACGTAATTTAGCTATAAATAAAATTCTCTTCGAAAAGAACATTATTGGCCATTTTGTTTATTTCCATTTAAGGCCTATAGATTATTTTTTTAAAGATGATATGAGATACCAAACAATCACCACTTGGTTTAATTATTCGGAGTAAATAATGAGTTGTCGACGACTTTACCATTGATCCGTAACAGTTGATTAGCAATAGTATTACTCAATGACACACACCCGCTTGTCGATTAATTTACATCATCAGCCACGTAGTTTCGATTAAAGACCACGTAAGATCAAAAATCTAAATTGCATGTATGTATAGCCCATGGTTACTATATCAACTTTACGGCAAGTTCACACGAGTCTAATTAAAATTAAGTCCGCTGTTAACGTTTAAGTATCCGACACGCCAAAACGCTTTTCGATTTTTCAGTTACTACCTTAATCCGGTTGATTGGCTGGTGACGTCACATGCACTACACATAGGATATACATTATCTATACAATATCTCACTGTCTGTACAATATAGCACTATCAATACACACGGCAAGTTGACAAGCGTCTATTGACGGTCCAATTACCACGTGACTGGCCTAATCATAATCACCGAATTACCGTCTTTCATTGGTATAGATTAGACATTTGTGATTGGAATATATTTTAGAGTGAATAATAATAATAATAACAACCATTTCTATACATAAAGAACAACTACAGTGAATATGGAATTTTCCGATGACTATGCATAACATATACAATAGATCGCACCCATTTCTCTGCCAATCAACGCTTGGTATCTTATTATCATGTACCGTTTCATGTACAACGGGTGTAGTAAATGAGGTTAAACTTCGCCGCGAAAATTGCACGGGGTCATTCGTGGAGTTCCTGGTGCCGTTTGGTCAATGCAATTGTAAAATACTTTTATCATAAAGAAGATAACCGATGTTAGACATTATAACCTAATCGTATCAAAAACGTTAATCCATCCATCAATTAAATGTTGTTTAAACGCCAATCAACAAATAATACGAGGCTACTTGATTACAAAAACACCGGTGAGCAATAATTATTGGGTGTATAGCAATTTTAAACAACTTATTAGTAAAACTTAATTATTCTATACAATCAATGTGTGTGTGTATGATTCTACCATTAGTTCGTTCGTGAGGTATTACGCACACGTTCCACTTAGTGATGTCTTTGATCTGGCCGGCGTAAAAAAAAGATAATTACCTAATCAACATTCTTAATCCCACTAACACTCACTGCTTACACTGCTAAATTAATTTATGACCCAGGCCTGTATAACTTTTATAGTCGGATTGATTAATTAATTAGAAACAATACACACGCCGGCTGTATATAGGTAATTAAGGAATAAACATTTCGAATATGCATTCGGTCACTGTGACGTCACTGGCGTCTGGGGGGATTAAGAGTGTTTTCGATAATTGGCAAAGTCGTTTTTACGGAAGGTCTATTTTTACGACTTTTGAGTGAAGATAACTGAATTAATTTCAACCAGATTGGCGTGAACTTGCCGTAAAGTGGATTTAGTAACCATTGGCTACACCTATCTCAAAGTTTCCAGGCCCATCTTATGTGCACTTTAACACTCAACGGCAATCTATACGATCAGAATTTTTTTTTTTGCCACTTGTCAGAGTGAATCGCATGTAGGGACCCCAAAACATTGCCAAAACCAAATATTTATCGATTATGTCTTGCACGCGGTGTCTGGGCCAATCAGCAAAGGCGTTGTGTGGACAGCATGGCAACAGGCGGAGTTTATTTATATTTTTGGAGTGTTTTAAAACTCGATTGTATCCGTTCAAAATAAATTCATCGACAATATTTTGATCATATTTATAAACTAGAGATGCTCCGCTTTACAACGATGCCAATTGTTATGCAAGAGGAATGACCGGTCGTCTCCCTGCGAGCGAAGAAAAATAACTAATTTCGCCGAGAATTTTAAGAAATAGGACAGATTTAAGAATACTGTACTCTTACAAAACGTTCAAATACAGGTGTTTTAAAATGTTTTATTGCTATTATGATCTTCTGTGTCGATAGATAGTATATTTATAGACTCATTTTTGTGAAAATCTCAATTTCGTTCAAGGGGGGTTGGATGGCCGAATGGTTAGCACGTGCGTGCTGTATCATAAAGCCTGTCATTGAGTCAACTGGCGTGGTTTCGAATCCCCGGTTGTACGTGACAAGGAGTAGGGTCGCCTGTCCAATCTCGTGGGTTTTCTCCGGGTCCTCCGGTTTCCCCCCACTGCTAAAGATCCCTACGCGCAAGCGAATTATTGAAATAAAATTTTTAAAAAAAAATGTTAGTCCCGAAATGACCTAGTTTGTGTCGAGTGGACGTTAAACCCCATTTCTCTCTCTCTCTCTCTCAATTTCGTTCAAAATCAATATTTTCACTTATTTTGTCTTTATCTCATTATTGACTCTCGCGCATTTAGATGCGACCGGTTACATTTGATGTCATTGTAAATATTATTTTGTTGTAAACATTTCATGTTTCATTTAAATATTTTTTACAGCTTTTTCAAAACTCAGATGTTCAATATAATCTTTTTGTATCTGCAAGGTTGCATGTTAACCAGAGTGGTAAAACAGCATGGTTGAAAAAGTGTGGTTGCCAGTCAACTTTCAACAGCTATTGATGTGACTTTCCAGGCCTCCCTATTTTTCGAGCAGTTGGCATGTTGAACTCCCGACAGCTCCCATGTGTCTCTTAAAAACCCTATTTTGTTTTTATTTTGAAGGGAGGGAATTACTAGTCTGACTCCTGATATAACAAGCTAACCCGGTCTCCTTGAATTAGTTTGTACGCCAAAGGCCGGGTCCAAAAAAGGTAAATAAGAATATGTTTAACCGGGATACTCCATGAATGATCGCCGTGAAAGACACCACTCTGTACACTGCACTGCCCTACCCGCATTTTTCATTCCTGACTACACAGGCTACACTGGACCACTTGACTACCCCCTTTATGATGAAATTAAATCCCAGACTCCACTGGACACTGAAATCAACCACCCTTTCTAATGAATCCACACGAAAATATAGAAGTAAACATAGGCTTTAACACTTGGCGCTATAAGCTTATAATTCTAGGTTGATTGAAGAGATTTCTGGTCCCCAAACGCTACTTATCGTGTTCCGCCAAGTACGATCTACCATAACACGTTTTATGGGCGTTCCTTGAATAATTTTGGATATAACTTCACAATTCCAGATTAATGTTCCATAGTCCGCTCGTAAAAACTTC